TATCCTATAGGCTTGACATCAATAAGTGAAACATTCCCTGATTTATGTATCCTATAGGCTTGACATCAATAAGTGAAACATGTCCTGATTTATGTACCCTATAAGCTTGGTGTACTTCTCTCTTTTAAAGCCTAAAACATGAAGTACAAAATAGTTTTTAAGTGCATTCCTACAATATGCATGGATTTCTTTACCAAAATTCAACATTTATTACATGTACTAAAATGTTTACAAGAGAATCATTACATTTTTCTGAAAATTCTTCCCTGTAAATAATCATTTATATACTCATGCCAGTCTGTTTTCTCCGCATCTTGGTGCTAAAAAATTCCAGTTATCTCTTTGTTTTTTATAATTTATATTCATGAAGGGAAAACTAAATACTGTAGGATGATTGGATAACACTTGTTCACACTAGTTGCCTTTTCCCACCTTCATTTCCAGACAAACAATGAATGACATCACAATTAAACTTGTCGTTTTTCCCCTCTAATTTTATGATTGGTCGTTACTAAGATTCTCGTACTCACAAGAAGTACATCTCATGTCAAGTACTTGAAGCTACCAAGGATAAGCTCAACTACAATATTTTTAAGAGCAACCTTCGGCCCCTGCTGAAATGGGACAGCTAAACTCCATATGTTGCTAGATGTCAATGTAAAATATTAACCCATGTATACATAAAATATTTAACTAACTCTTACAAACAATGGGACAATATTGCCAAGCATAACATAACAAAAGTGAGCTTGGTAAAAGAAATCTTCATCTGTAATAAGGGTTAAACTGAATACCTCAGCACACATACAGTTGCTTTTCTACCCTGTACCACAAATGCCTCCAAAACTTTTTGAGACAGATTGTAAAGGTTTTGAAACTTGTGTTTCTACTTTATGAAATCCTTCATACTTTTTCCAATGAAGAGTAATATTTAAAAGCTTAATAGTTGTAAAATTTATATCTAATAACTATGATTATCTTTTGGAGGAGGGTATATTACAGGATGGTTAGAAATAAGGAATTAAAAAGAGTACATTCAATTGAGGGAAAGCTTTCAGGAAGATTCATTCCCTCATGTAAAGCTGCATTCCCTCATGAAATGTTTTTTTTTATTTAATCCATGCAATATGTTCACTTTCATTGGTTATAACACAAGGAATATGAATGGACCATGCATTCCCGATCGGAAAAGCCGACTAAAAAAATCAAATTCCCCAAGGAAAGTTAATATTCCTCAGGAATGCAATATTTCGATCCCAGTAAGGCTTAACAGCTGTGTCATCAAATTCATGTAACATATGATTATCTTGTGGGGGGTATATGTTAGGCTTTTTTTTTAAACCACTTGATTTTACTGAATAAAAGGAAGCAATCATAAAGATAGTTATACGTTTCATTTTAATCATTAAAAGTATAAACTCTTTCGTGAATTTCACACGACATACACTTAGTAAACCATAAGAAAAGGTTGAAATAAGATAAAACTAACTATGCAACTTCGTCTCCAGTATCAGTCAAACATATGAATGAAATATGCCAAATTATTGTTCTGTTAATGAGACATCTCAGGATAAAGTACTTAAGTTAATTTGTTTGTATATTTCAATAAAAAAACTATCTTTTGAATAAAATGTCCTTCTAAGTTTTGACATTTAAGATCAAAGATGCATTGTAATGAAAAAACTTTTTTTATACACAGTTTTTGAAACTTAATTTTACACACATGAAACAAAACAACAACAAAAAAAATACCTTTTCTTCCTTTGTTGTTTCAGCATTAACTTGTGTGCTATCGTCATCCAAACTATCCTTGACAGGAGTACTTTCTGCTCTGACTTCTTCACAATCACCATGTTCACTACCGCTATCAGAAACTTCTACAAGAGGAACAGAATTTTCTTTGGAGAGATATAAGGATGGCAGTGAGCCAGCTTTTAAGTTCCTTTTAAAGGTTGCATAATCTTTTGGCTTAAAATGCAAGGAACATACCCTTGTCTGGTCAGATATTGTGGAATCATCTATGCCTAGTAAATCAATCCACTGATCTCTTACAAATTCATCTTTAGGTAAAGGATAAAATGCTAATCCCGTATTTAATTCAGAATTACTCTTACAAGAGCCTGCCGCACATACTCTCATTTTGTCGACTTATTTCTCTCTCTCTCTCAACATACATCCAAGTAGATAAATCTCAGTTCAAGCTACTAACCCCCAGGAATGTCTCGAAACACACTACATGCACACCTGCAAAAGAAACGGAGCACAAAGAAAATACTATGTAAATCAAGGGATTAGTTAGATGGTAAGTTACAATTATGGTTCTACTAATAATAAACTATGGATGAACTTCTTCAAGGAAGAAAAATAAAACTATATCTTTTGAATAAAGTGTCTTTATAAGTTTCAGTATTAATAGCTATGATGCACTGTAATGAGAAAAGTTAAAAGTACATTTAATGCTCAAGGTATATTATAAATATCAGGCTAAAGCTTAATAATATCATACATGCAAGATTTTACAGCCTTTATAAATTTCAAAGGCCTGATGGTCAGGGAACTCAACTCACAATCTGAGGGTCACGAGTTCAAACCCCATCACCAAAAATGCTAGTTGGGATTAAGGCTGTAAAGATGAAAAAAAAAGAACAAAAAACAAATTTAAATATGTCTGATTAGAGTGAGTTTTATGCACTCATATTAAGCCACCACAAAATTTAACAGTGAAATCTCCTCTAGCATCTCATATAGTTGCAGTGGACATCTAAAATTACCAATGTAAACATGTCCAGTGAGAAATACACAAGGGTTTTGTACAGAAATAGAACCATTGTGGAAACAAACAGTCAGTTCATTTCTAGTATTAATAAACTGGAGTGCAAAAGTACTAAAATATTAAGATAATGAGATAGATGTGAGATCTCTCTTTAGGCTATACACACACCATTTTGGTGTAAAGCCCAAATCAGTGCAAGATGGTGGCATTTAGATAACAGTGAACTAATATTCCACACTATTTCAATTTACCAGCAAATGAAGTCTCTCATTTCTTTGTTATTTGAAATTGATTTTAAAAATTTGATTTTTAATCATTATTCATGCAAATATATGTATCAGATATAGATGAACAAGGTTAACAATAAACCTATTAAGAATTTATACCAAATCAATTTTTTTATTTTTCACTAATTGCTACACATGATACTGTGTTCTTATATTATTATTTTGTTGCCTTCCAAATGACTTGCTTGTTACCAACATTTATACCCCCAGTTAATTTCTTTAAATGAAAGAACTATTTTTGTTATTGAAATATTCTTTCTAATACAGCAAGTTGTTTTTGTTTTATTTTAAATAACATGACAGTAAATGGCAAAAAAAATTATCAACAAAGCTCATACTTAATCCATGAAAATATATGTACAATAATTTAAAAAAATCAAGGCTATAGAGCTAGGTTAAGTTAACACGTAGATAACAATTTCTAATAGATTTGAACCTTTGGCAACTTGTAATGAGGAGACGGTAAGAACACACACATATCAATAGACTCTCTCATTAAGTATACCAATTCTGTTTTTGTAGTGCATGTAAAAGTGAATCATATTGAGAGTTTTAAATCATAAGAACAGCATAAACATATAAAAACCCCTTCAGAGGTTTAGGGATAGAAATATACGAGACTGGCCTTTTTGTGAGTATTCACTCAGGCTAGACGTGGAAACAAATTACTCAGCAGGATCAAAGACTTAAATGAAAGATTATAATGGATATGTTTAGAGCAATAGGTGAGCTGGTTGGACCTGTGGGAGTTTCAAGATAAGAGTGAACTTTATGCTACACATGGGCACCACTTAAGAAGGCTAGGTAGCAGAATGTTTGGGAAAAATGTACAGAAATTCATTAAAGACAGTTTAAACAACCATTGTGGTGAGGTAGATAAGGAAATTGGGAATAAATAAGTTGATAAGGTACCTTGGGTAACTAGGAGACTGGAAAAAAGAGTTTAAGTTGGTTACAATCAGGGAGTTAAAGAGTATAAAGTTTTTAATTGGCCATCTGATCTGATACATACCAATGAGAAACTGTATAATGAGATCAGGGTTATTACTAATAAAGATACTGATATAATAATTATGGTAAACTTTAAACTTATTGATTAGGATTGTATGGATAAGTAGTGAGGGAGAGAGGTTTCTTGAAGTGATTCAGGATAGTTTTATATCAAACAGTCAGAAACAACCAGAGGGGATGAAATTTTAGTTACTATTAACTACTTAAGATAAGATGGTCGCAAGAGTTGAAGCGGGTGAACATTTGGGAAAGTGTGATTCAATGCAGAATTAGGTTTGACGTCTAAGTACTTGAAACCAGATCCCAGTCTCTTTTCCCTTTGACTTTTCCCCTTAAAAATCAACTAAATATTACTATTTTATAATGGACTTTTACAAGATAAGGTATCACAAATATTCTTGACTCAGAGCATCTCAGCTACTAGTGTCTGTTGTGTCTAAGCAAGCCTGAGAAGCCTTGATATTGGGTAAGTCCTCATCAGCACTGGATATAGCAGACATACTGTGATTGACATTATTATTATACACCCTTCTTTAATTTCACTCAGAAGTTCTTGTTAATAATTTAATGAGAAACATTTGGATTGACCTTAATCATGTAGTTGGTTGGTTGGAGTTTAATGACACAAAGCAACATGGGTATCTGTACCTAATCATGTAAATATTCATCTCTTGGTGATACAAAGAAAGACTGAAACAAAAAATAAAGTGTCAAGACCAGAAAATATTTTTTCTCAAGATTTAAAACTGTGGCATCATGATTACTCAGATAACCAGTTGCAGTTCAATTCAATGCCCTAATCAGTTCAGAATTTTAAATTTTCCTAACCATTACTTAGTCTTTTTTTTGCTATATTTTATACTTAGTTTTATTTATACTGCCACACACAACATACTAAAATATTATTTTGGTCAAAGTTTGCTCACTCAGCCATACCACATGCAGGAAGTACATAAAGAGAGCATGTATAAGGATTTACTTTTTGTCCAATTCTAAACTGAGTAAATTGATTATCTTAACGTAAGTTCATCTGGATTATTCCAAAATAGAGGGCTGATTTAATAGTCTACTTGCCTTTTAATGCAAGAGAGAATACCCAAAACTCAACACAAACGAAAACATGGGTTTAATTAATCCTGTGATCTGTTTCAGTCAAGTAAAACCAGTTAATTGTTTCAAATATGATAAGTAACCAGTCAAAACATTTTCAAACCATGACACCCTTAGGTTTAAAGGATATCAAAAGTTAAATATGCAAGCCTCTGTCTTTTATTTCTGGTAGGTCAACACATAGTGGGCAGGTGCTTCAGGACCAGAGAGTTACTAATACTGCTATACTTAAAGGGGTGATAAGAGTTACCATGGAAATTATAGAACAGTTAGTACAACATAGTGGGAATCTTCTAGAGTGATAAAAGTAGCTTTGCAAAATCATTTTGTGAATAATATTATGAAAGAAAATCAACACGGGTTCACGAAAGGGTAATATTTGTATACTAATCTGCTAACTTCTACCGAGAATATTAAGTGTTAGCTGGGTGGAATTAAGTGTGGAGACTTGGTCTACTTAGATTTTTAAAAATCTTTTGATATTGTACTACATAGAAGATTAGCTACGAAACTTGCATCACTAAGGATTGGATTGTATTATGAAAAGATGAAAAAGTTATTAAAGAAGTCCAATCCATCTGGATCTGTGTTACAAGTGGAATGCTTCACGGGACAGTGCTTGGGCAGTTGCTTTTTTTCTTATTTACATTAATAATACTGACAGTCCCATTTTTTGGTAGTTTGTCCCAAGAAAAGTTCTTAAAGCATAGAAAATGTTCCAGCAGAACGATAACTGTCAGTAACATCAAATCATAAACGTAATAGGCCTACTTGACTTGGTCATTGTTCTAACACGTACTCTCCTGCCATCAGACTCTCAACAGTTCCATCTGTGTATGACAAGAAACCCAGGTCTGAATGTGGAGACAGTTAAAGCAGATCTCATCATCAAAATACACCTTGCACAGTTATGTACTGAACCTTATTTAAAAAAAAAACAGAACATCTACATTCTATTTATTCTTCAAAAAAATATGTCTTAAAAACTTTGAGGTAATGCTAGAACCTAAAAGCAGTATGTTTGAAAATGTTATGCATTCTTAAATAAATCCAGGTATGAAGTAGCCTATTTTATGATGAATTGGGTCCAGTATGTACTAAGTGATTTCTTGGATGTATAATTTGATTAATTTTGCTCATTTGTTTTGTGTCTATCACTGAAAGAAGTAGTTGGAATTATTTCAAAAACAATAAGAATGTTAATATGTTTGGAAATATTGTGGAACAGTTCAATAATTTTAAATTAAATTAAATAAAAGTTAAATTACTTCAAATTTGTAGTAACCATTTTGTAATTAGGGGTAAGGGCTATCCCAGTCTTTCTGTTTGGAAACCTGGTCACCCTAGAGAAAGGACAGAAGCTTACATTTGGAAGAAAAAAAAGACCAGCAGGGTGAATGACTCATGGAATGAACTGCTGTTGGCAGTAGCAGAAACAGGCACTTAACAAAAGTTCCAGGTTGGGGGATCAATAATTCTCAGAAAAACAAAAATGGTGGGATCAAGATTGTTTTCCTTGAAAGTGGGTGTGCAGAGATGGCCTTGAAGAACTAAATGGTCTTTTGTTTTCCATATCAGTTTTACCTTTTCCTTTCAATAATATTTTGCCAAAAAAAATGCATTAAAATATTTGAAACTTTTCCTGTGAACATTGCAGGTTAATAGCAAACAAAAGTTGTTCTAATATTTTTTTATACTCTTGACAAGACATCCACTTAAAGTCTACAAATCAACTGCTATATGTGGTAAAGTATATTCCCACACCAATTCCAAGTTGTCTAATGTGAATAATTTCTTTGGACAATAGTATTTGAAACTCATGGTAATATAAAATTCATGAAAATAAAGTGAACATATCTTCACTATACCCTGAATATGTAAAACTGGGCTTTTCAACATACAGTTTTGACATGACACTGACAATAAATTACTTCCAAGTTCTACTGTATAATGGAATGTAAACATTCAATATTTTACTATGAGCTATACAATATGTGCAAAAACAAAACATTACATGCAATTATTTTACTTAATTTACTAGACATATGAATTACCACAATATAAGTGCCCACATATAAGGATAAAGGAATCTGCAAAAGATGACATTTAAGACCAAAAAGATTCCTGTTGGCTGATCAACATCATCTTATCCACTAACTAAATTAAAAGAAAAAAAAACCCAAAGCCAGCCCTTATCATTTAAATATTCGTTAAAACTTCTTCCCTTTAACTACCTTTAGGTTACCACATCTACCATATCTGAAGGCTACTCATTCCAAAAGTTGACTGCCCTGTTAGAAAAATAAAACTACCTTAACTGAGGATGATTCATAACCTTCCAAAATTTATATTTGCTTTCCTTGGACCTACTTTGGAAGGAATTAGGCCCTAGATGGTTCAATTAGGTCTACTAATCAAATTACACATCCGAACTGTTACAAACCTCCACCAGTTTCCTCTTGCTTTATTCTACTCAGACATAATTTACAATCTTTTGAGTCCCAGTTGGCATGCTCTTGCTCTGCCTCACTGACAAGGCAGTCGGGAAGGACCTTTGGTGTACCTCACCACAAAGGCAAATATCCCAACGAAGTCTGTAAACCAATCTTTACTTTCATTGTGACTAGTCTAACCCTAAATTTTTTGTGACTACCTTCATGTGCCAGGAGTGGATTAGTTGCTTGCTGCCTTCCTGGAATATGGTACCCATATCTAAAATCAAACCCTGATCTCCTGCCATCAACCTATACAGGTAAAATACTCAAGATATGAAATTGCTGGGCTAAAGTTACACTAAACTCCACTAGGCCTATTTTGGTCCACTACCGGGTTTTTATTTCTCATTTTACTGTAAAAGATTTTTAAAAATTACATGCATCAAGTATTTGTAATAGGTAACTTGTTTTAAATGTCAATATATTGTAAAAGTTTTTTTGGAACCTAAATAATATTGTGATATTTAGTTTTATTTTTAAGCATGTATATATCGCATCCTTTAGAAAAATTATTTATAAAGCATTTTCACTTATGGAACAGCAATATACAAATTAACACTGGGTTTGCTTCATGAAGTTCACAGTATTAGTAATACTAATAGTAATAATATGGTGGGGAATGTTGAGTGATGATGCCAAAATCTTAATTACACTACTAATAGTAAAGTTAATATGTTTGCATTATATAATATTATCATTCATATATGAAACGTGACCAGTAGTAATAATTTCATACAAAGCCTTATAGCTTATACGTTATATCTAAAAGTAAAAATAAAATGAATTACAATACTGTCAACAGTACAAGTTATAACAACAATAAAAATAAAGAAACAGATATCAAACTTTGAGAAACCATTATATTAATAAAACTTTTACTTAATCAATTTTAATTTTTAAAGTGAAAATAAAACTGATGTCAGTGATGAGCGTTCAATTCCGGAAATAAACTGCTTTCACCTCAGTAAAATTGCAGTAATAGGCCTAGTAGTAGTAGTACTAGTAGTGGTAATCTATCCTACTCTGTGCTGAAGATTGCCTATTCATTTTTCTTTCCCAACTACGAAAGCTAAGAAAACCTGTTTTTACGTATTTTTTCACAATTAACGAATAACGATAAAACATAACTACGTAATTTAGTTTACTTACTAAGTAAGTGTATTTTAATCTTTCTCACAATGAGCTAACCCTTACCCTGAAGCTTAATACAATAACTTTCCCAAGCTATCCCATTCCCAACGTATACACAGTATTCAAGAGGGCGCTACAACCTTAGGCGGTTATACGAGACAATAATTGACACAAAGAACTACACGTATTAGCAAATTCTGCCCCTGACTCCATTGGCATCGGATGTGGTAAGGGGGCCAAAGAAAGGGCCTGAGACACTCCAATAAATAAAAGGAACAGCGAAAGTATGATGTGTTGCCTGGAGAACATTCTGTTTCGGTGACAGACGTTGTCTTAAGTTTAAAAAATAATTCTTTGGTAAATAAGATGTGCGCAATGATAATATTGGTACGATTATATGTATTTTCCTTTCCCAGCAACTGTTCAGCGTGCTTTAAGTTATACCTTAGAAGCACTATGACTCAACACACTTAATTCTTTAATCGCTCTAAACATTTATAGAGAAAGAGTTGATGCTCATTCTGATCTTGAGAAATGAATTTATTCAAAGCAGGGGCGGACAGTATAAGACACTTGGGGAAGCTTGGCCTCCCCCAAAGAAAACCCGTTTTTCACGGGGCGTTCTCTTCACCAATTCAAAATATTATACACTATTCGTGTAGAGATAGAGAAACAGAGATCAAAAGATAGTATATGTTAGTCATTAAGGGGAGTTTATTCATTTAAAAGCACGAATTAATTCCTTCCAATTGTGCAACCCCCCCACACATAAGTGACATAGCATAATAATCTACCAAACAAACTACTCACTTGCCACCTATGGTTAAAACTGAGAATGAAAAATCCTTTTGTTTTATTGTAACTTTCATTTATCGGTTTTTACTAAACTTTAAAACTTTTTTTTTGTGGTTGAACTCTTCCAATAATTATTTGCTTCCGTCGCCACTTCATGACTTTCTTCGTAAATATAAGTCAAATTTAAAACACTAAACTGATAAGTACTTAAATATAAGTGTTAGGGACTGATAAACGATTCTCTGAAGCCCCCTAGGATATTTTCTAAAATACTTTAGATATATCTTTTGGGCAAGTACCAACTTCCAGAATGATGGTTGGTTGATTGTTGTTAAACACAAAGCAACACAATGGGCTATATGTGACGTGCTTCCTTATCACATTTAAGAATTTTAACATAGAGAAAACTCCGTGTATAATTCTACATATGAAAAGAAGTTGTGAATTATACATATATCCATGTATATATATATAAGTTCATTCTATAAGCAGAATAGCAAGTATATATTTCGCTGTTAATAACGATGTACTATAATAAGTAACCAACATTTCATGAAAAAAGTAAAAAGTAATAGAACAATATATTATATACAATGGTGTTCCTATTCAAATACTTTAATATATTGCACGTTTGTTTGGAATTATGCACAAAGCTACACAATAGGCTATCTGTTCTCTGCCCATCACGGGTATCGAAACCCGGTTTCTAGCGTTGTAAGTCCGCAGACATACCGCTGTGCCACTGGGGGGCAATATATTGCACGTGAATAGTACTTTAGTCGCAATTGTATGTCTATAAAAATACACCTATATGACAAAAAATCAAAACTAGTACAGAACTACTTTGAAGAATACGAAAGTTACTGGCTAGTTATTATACAAAATCATTTTGTTGTTTATGTTTTATTTTTACATTAGTTACAGTGCGAAAGAGCATGACATCTCTTGTTGCCTAAAAATAGCATTTCCGTGCTGAATTTCAAGACAATATGTGATGATCATGAAAATCACTTATTCGTCCTCAATCAACAAATCCCAAAGTGATGATTGGTTGTTGTTAAGCGCAAAGCAACACAATGGGCTATCTGTGAAGTGCTTGCTTACCACGGTTATCGAAACCCGGTTTTTATTTAATATTTAATATAATAAGCCGTCAGGATTGCCGTTGAGCCACTGGGTGGCTCCACGTTTGTGGCAGTTGATGTTTTACAGACTTTGATAAAGATTCCGTGAAACTGTAAATACAAAAATTATTCCGTTTTTGTAGTTTCTGTTACTGTAAGTACAAATCTGGCAACATTTCTTATTGTAAAGATGGTTAAGAAGTTAAATTTGAGGTGGATAACTAATTCTTTCTTGGTAGTACTGGTACTATGAGTATGACAGATAAGGTAAACTAGATCATGAAAAATATTATGATATTCAAAAATCGTCTATAAAGTATAAAATACCTTGGCTTTAGCATATAATTTGCTGGGTATCTAACCGTGCGAGCCTGGCATGGTCAGGTGGTTAGGATGCTTGACTCGCAATCTGTGGGTCGCGGGTTCGAATCCCCGTCACACCAAACATGCTCGCACTTTCAGCCATGGGGGCATTATAATGTGACGGTCAATCCCACTATTCGTTAGTAAAAGAGTATCCCATTAGTTGGCGGTGGGTGGTGATGACAAGCTGACTTGAAGTTAAGCACAAAGCTACACAATGAGCCATATGTGCTCTGCTCACAACGGGTATCGAAACCCAGTTTCTAGCGCCGTAAGTCTGCAGACATACCATTGTACCACTGGGGAGTGTGTAGAAGAGAATGAAGTGCTCATACGAGTCATGTTGAGAAATCTGGAAATGTCTTGAGATGCACCCTTGCAGTTTCATTCATCCATTTGGGAGTACTGTCATTACATAGAGGATAGAAGATGTTCAAATACATCAGTAGGTCTATACAAAACTTTAAAGATTTCAACTTATTTCCACTGAAGTGGTGAAGCATTTAAATGTATGAAAATTTCAGAACCATGGATAAACTGCCCATGAAATGTCTGTGTAGGGTTACCCAAGAATAAATTTTACAAGTCCAAATGGAGAGCAATTTTTAGGCAAAAGGATATACTGTCAGATTTATAAGCTCATAAAATGGCATACTTGATAATATGGTATGTGTTATTAGATTGAATAATATTTGGATAGGCCTACAGTTGTCAAAGAATATATATGGTTTAAGTTGTTCATTGTAATGGTTTTTTTAAACAGTGAAGGAAATTGGTTTGATGAAAATAATAGCTGTCTGTCTTTGTGATTGTACTTATTTAATGTAATGTTAGAACAGTTCCTCCTATCATTCATTAAGTACTCCATGTTCAGTTTTTCTTTCTTTCCTTTTAACTCACAGTCACTACTTGTTTCTTTGATACTTCTTATTGAAGAACTACAGCCCATAGATTCTCCTGTGTATATTGTAGATTCACACTGAAAATTTATTTTTGCAAAATATCTAGTTATGATTTCTCCACTTTTAGAAAAATGCATACTAGTTTTAAACACATCTTTTGAGACAAGTTTGCAAAATTAGCACACTTTTTACATTAATTGAAATACCAAGATAACAAAATTGTAGTAACTACTTAATATGTGCCACATAGCATGACCTGTACGTTTTAGTACTCATATTTTTTATTTTCTTGTTTAGTCAGCAGAACAAACACACACAGGTATGTACAAGTAAACATAAACCTTTTTTCTATTTCATTTATTTTAATCTACTATATTGCTACTCGATTATAGTTCATTTGTAGTGCTATGATTTCTTTAGCTTCTAATGCTGATGTTAAGTTCATGGTTTCTTTTCCTTTGTTTAATATGTTTTGTTATGTTTCTATATATTTAAAAGAATAGTTTTAAAAATTTAATTTAGAAAGTTGTCAGAAAAGTCATGCACTTTTTATACTTAATTGACTATATAATAATATTGTTTAATATACAGATATGTATGTTGATGTATTATATAATTGGCATAATGCCTTCTTATTAGCTTAAAACTTATTAGCGTTTTTTTTTTTTACAGGATTAGAATATTTCAACTAATTCTAAATGTTGGTATTATTCTTAATGGTTTCTCCCTATTACACAAGTTGAAAGAGCAGTGGCCCCCTTAAAATAACATTTATATTTGAATTACATTTAACATAATTTTTATTTTAAGAAACTTCAAGAGTTTTCAATAAAATACACCTAAGTGAATGAATGAACTTTCCCATACTGATTTTAAGTCATGATGGAATGCTATATATCAGAAATACATTTTGATATTATTTGGCATTTTGTAGGTATTGTGATGCCACCAAACATTTATCACTTTTGAGAATGGGAATGATATGTAACAAGCTTTTCCAATGCAAAATATTCATACACTCAGATCAAAAGGTGTGATTACATTGGGATTTAGAATTTCTAAGATGGGGATATTCATTGAATTTAATGGCATTAGAAGACAACTGATCATGGATCAACTTGGGGACCCAGGACCTTCCCAAAAAAAGGTGTGTAACAAGTCAAACTTCAACCATGGTAAGCAAATTAAGGCATCTTATAACAGGTGAGAATTTACAAACACAAAAGTTAATGATAAAAAACATCTTTGTGCCCCAGGCAACAGTATGCAACATAGTAAAAAAAGATATACATTTGGGAAAAGTGACACAAGCTGCTTCAACAACATACCCATTTAACTGTCACATCCTCGAGCATCTAGAAAAGGAAACAGGTATTCATACTATTCCATATTAAGGCATACTTGGCAAGTTGCCAGATGCAATGCCTATGGATTTCTGTGCAAATAAACTGTTGAAAAGGATGCTGGAAAAGCATTATCCTCATACACAAGATAGATTATGAAAAGGTAGCAGGAAGGAGTGATTGATGTGCTTTGGAACACATATATATCTTAAAATCTCTTAGTTTCATTAAAAGAAGAAATCAAATTAATGTACGGAAAGATAACTTATCAGAAGCTGTAACTGAAAGTTTAAAATTTATGGATTATTCTTTCTTGAAATCAAAAAAATAAAGGTAAAAAAGAAAACACTTTGAATGTTACCTAAAGTTTTTAATAATAATCGCACAATTTCCATAATTTGTAATGAAATAAACACATCTAAATAACTAGAAGAGGCTGAGCAAAGGATGAGCCCTTGATATACACCGTATGTACAAGGGGAGTACTGTGCATGGAGGATGTATTGCCTTCATCTTGGAGGGCTATAGTCTAATGCATTATAGACCAGAGTGTAGGGATGGACGTTTCATTCAAAGGCTTCGCATTGGTGTGAAATAATAACTTTCTGTTCTGTGAAAAGGTGAGTAGTGTTTCAGAAATAATACGTCTCCCAACATGATAAATTTCAAATATTTCTTAAAATCAAATTAATTTGATGCCAGTTTAGTGTTCCATTTGTTTGAAATATGCATACATTTTTTTAGAAGCAGTTTCCCATGTTGAATATCATTAATATATAAAATATTAATATATTTCAGAAGAATTTGTTTCAAGTCATTCTCTTGTTAGTGTTTAGTGCTGGGAAGTGACTGTGATATTTAAGACAGCTCTCATTGTCATTTTCACATCTCATAGTTTGACAAAAGCTTTCTTATGATGACAATGTAGCCTTCTGAAAACTGGACTAAGTTTGGAGAAACTACTTTTCAAGCAATTTTGGTCAAGAAACTTATAGGTGATGTTATCAAAACTCTCCAGATGGTTTTCAACCATTTGACACAATAAACATTTTACCACAGGAATCTTTGTATAATTGCAAAACCTTTTTCATTAAATATGCTTATTTATCAATACAGCTGTTTGAGATTTAATTTCAGGAGTCACTTGTGTGAAGAATTTTTATTTAGCACGTGCAGAAAAAACTTCATTATCTGGTCAAAATATTGTCCCTACCCATGAATATCTCTGCAGTAACGTTATCCTGTTGTATTACCCATGAATATCTCTGCAGTAACGTTATCCTGTTGTATTACCCATGAATATCTCTGCAAAAAAAAGGGAGTTTCTGCCAAAAAGTGATTGGAGTTTAAGGTGAATTTTTCATATTTAAAGGATTACTGTAAAAATATATTGGTAAAAAATAAATCAAACAAGGAAAAACATCAATTATATTATGTCAAAGAAAAAAAAGTACAAGATTTGAATTGATTAGCAAATGAAAATGTTTTTCATGACTTTAATCTTTGAAATGATAAAAGTTTTCTTTGCTGATTAATTCAACAAAGACCAGTGTTTATTTGTTGCATAAACAGTTGTATTACTTTAATATATCGAATACTTTGCTTCAGAATAGGATATCGTAAATTTATATTGTTAAACAAAGTTGACTATTCTACAAATTTGTCAAAAAAATATATTCCAAACAAAAATAGATACTTTAAAAGTTAAGATCACATTATCGAATAAATGCTCTATTTTGTCTCTAATACTAAACAGATCTTAATAATCAGAATATTTCCTAACATGGAAAAAGATAATTCTCAAAAGGGTGTTTAAAAAGTTGAGAACATTCTTGTTTGGTTTTGTTTTTTTAGGTTTAATCTATGTCATTTTATCATGTGCTGTAGTTTATTGAAAAATGTACATACAGCAAAAGAGTAAATTTAAGCTAATTGAGAAGTGACCATTTTGAAGGTCAATTATTCATGTTCTAAGTGTGTGGTACAAGTATGAAAATCTTCATCACATTTTTTGTGTCTTTTAAATAGTATCAATATTCAACATATTTCTATGTTGTAACAATGACTTTTTTTTTCACTTATAACACAATAAGGTATGAACAAATTAAACCATTTTGTATACATTTTTAAACATGTGATTATTTATAAGGTCAAAGTCTTATCAACATCATATTAAGCACTACTTGCAATGATCATTGTCTTAACAATTATTTTGGTGTGAATTTTAAAAATTCTGTGAGTTCATGTGTGCCATTACATGTCAAGATGGTCAGTACTTTTTGTGTTATTTGTGCAATTTTGTTCATATGTTATGTATGTTTTATTTGTTTCTAAGAATAAGTAACATTTAAATGTATAAAGGAAATAAGAAATAAAAGAAGTTTTACATCAGAGCTACTGCAACATCCCAAACTTAGCTAAGCTCTAATTTACAGAGGATAAAAGCAAATAAACTAAAATTCTGAAGTTAAATACATTATATTAAAATGATTTTGGAGCCTCACAATGTTGTTATACTTCATATCACCATGTGCATTTGGTCATGCTATATCTAACAGCATCTTGAATATAACCCTGCAGTGTAGTTTCCATTGCAGAAGTTTCTGTCATAAGGCTTTCATGACTATGCACACCACCCTTTCCTGCATGCTTTCTATGTTCCCTCTAGAGTATAAAGAAGTCCATAGGGCTGTGTCCAGTAACTTGACATGGCATGAAAACTGTGTTATTCCCCAGTTGCTTTAGGTTTGTGATAGTTGAACAGATATGTTATGGAAGCAACTTTTGTACATGTGAACACTTTTCTAAATATATATCTTTCTTGATTGCATTGTATGTTTTTGCATAAGGCAGATGGACAACTTCTGCCACTGGCCTTTGTGTTTGTGGAAGCTCATTTTTTACAAGACTCCACACATTGCTTACTATGTCTGAGATATGACTTGTTGTTTGTCCTTTTCTGGATGGTTCTGGTGCCCCAAGTTGACTCATACTCATTTCTTTTCCTATGGCATTAAGTATAAGGGATATCTACATCTTGGAAATTCAAAATCCTTGATCTGAACACATCTTGATGATCTTACTGTATGGATATTTTGCATCAGAAAGTGTTGTTTCATATCTTTTACAAAATTTTTAGTGTCATGACACTATGTATGAAATGCCAAACAAAGTTTCTAAAATGTAGTTCTAATACATGCCATGCCACCATAACTTTATATTAGTTGTGGTTGTCATGCAACTTACTGATTAATTTGCATATTCAAAATATCTTTGCATTGATATGTCATAGGTTAGAATTCAGTGTTTGTGAAAATATAGTATAATATTAATATTGTACACATTAATATAAATTCAAGAAAGTACAGTTGTATGTGTGCCATTAAAAAGTCATAAAATAGTAATTTACATATACTCTAGTACTTTAACTAATATATAGAAGCAAATAAGCATCACTCGGGCCACATTCTTGTAGAAATGTTTATTATTTTGATGTACCTAAAGAATTTCACAAATTAAAAGTAAAAATTTACATGTAATTTTTTTACAATTCATAAGTAACTGGGAAAAGTAAATAGGAAAATAAACTAGGCTATAAAGTCTGTATACTGCTTTAAACAATTTAGGAATATAACAATACATTTAAATATGTATCAGATAAAAATTAAAATATCGGTATAATATGTTGCTGTACCAAGTACGATATATCCTATGTTCCTCATAATTTTGTTCTTGCCGCTTTCAATGTGGCTTAATTAACGAGTGCAGCCTAAATTACATTTTAGGCTTAGTTTAAATACTTGCAGTCTCTAATAATAACAAAAATATCATCAGTACTACATATATCCCACTAATTATTGCAGGGTGGGGATCCTGTATGAATTTTACATTAAAAATCGATGATTTTGCCCATCTTTGGGGAATCAGTTCTTCATGAGTGTTATAACAGACAAGAATATAAATTTTCTCAATAGATGCAATGTGTGAACCATACTTGTAGTAACGGTAATCCTACTAAAACGTAGGTGATAAATTGAGGGTTAGAAGACCAGATAAGATTAGGAGAAACAGTAAAAGTGTGAAGTTTTCTAAAATTACCGTTAATATTAGTTAATTTATATTGATTGGAATGAAATTCAGAGTGTAATTTGTCACGAGCTACTTATGGAAGTCAATTCTTAAAAATAAAAGATTTTTATTTATTTATTTAACAGATAAATTACAGTTCCAAGTTGTAGCGATACATACAGGGAGTATTGTCTCACTTCAAATGTTTTTCTTCATTGAAATTCAGGGATCGAAATATTACATTCCCGAGGAATGTAACTTTGCTTGAGGAATTTCACCTTTTTACTTGGCTTTTCCGATCGGGAATGCGTGGTCCATTCGCATTCTTTTAGTTATGAATAATGAAAGTGAACATATTGCATGGATTAGATAATTAAATAAAAAAACAATTCATGAGGAAATGCAACTTTACACGAGTGAATTTTATTATTGTATCCCTGAAATACTTTTAATTAATACTTAGCGGTATGACTGCGGACTTACAACTCTAGAAACTGGGTTTTAATACTGTTACGTCTCCGTTTGTTAATTGATTTTCCGTAACTTCGTTCCGACGAAACTTAAGCGACA